ATAAAAATATAAATTTAGAACATCTGGAATCCAAGATTGTATCTCAAATTTAAAGTCTAAACTTAACCCCTAAGCAGAATTTCATTCCAAGTTAGATGATAAAAGTTAGAGTTTTTTTTTAAATCCAGCTACCAACTAGCAAATGGCCCTGCTCTCACTGAGAGCTCTTGCAAAAACTGCAGCCCCTGAGAGAGAGAAGAAATTTCTCTCAATTTCCCAGGTCCATACTTTTTGAACTGAAAATTTATGCCTTATTAGTGGTCCAAGAAATTAATCCAATGGAACATGGCTATTATAAACCTATCAACGATTGTGTCATTAGAAAAACACATCATGACTTTCCCAATGACATAGTAGAATAAAAACTATGGAGTAAGGGCTTGTACATTTGTTGAAACTTTTGTTTCGTTTCACACATTTGTCTTACTGTAAGTTGCAGTAAAAAGTTTAGAGTACAAACCCAGACCATGTCTAGTGCCCTGTATTATTTTCTTTCTACTGGGGCAGGTCATGAGTAATTGGAGTCTTTTTACCCCTCTTTCAAAGCACATGCCATACCTTATTATTTCAATGCTCATTAATAGTATTATCATGTATGTTTAGGGACAATTTCCCACAAACACAGTGATTTTAAATTTCAGTGCTATTTTATGGTCTAATACTCTGTTTTTTAAACTTTATTTATTTTAATTTGACCAGAGTGAGACAGAGTGAGCAAGCAAAGGTTGAGAGAAAGAGAAAGCAAGCTGCCAGGTCCAGGGCTTGAACTCCAGTCAGCCATGTGGGAGTCCAGTCCCCTTAACCACCATACCACTTGCTGGCTCCTCTTATGGTTTAATACTCTTGAACATTGTAATTAATAAGTAGGAAACTAAATATAAGTTAAAATTCAACCACATACAATGCTGCAAGAGTAATTATCTAACTGGTTGGCGGTCATATGAAGAGAATCTTCCTATAATCCTCTAATTTCTCGTATATCCTATGTCAGAACATATTATTACCAGAAAGCTGGAATACTCTTTGAACAATGGGTACATGACAACTTTCAACCCATCCTAATTTTCCATAGTTCTTCCAACTTCTTATCATCTTTACAGAGACCACCATAGTCCTAGCCACAAATGTCTCTCCTCAGGCTTATTGTAATTACTTCCAAGTAGTCTCATTGCTTTTTTCTCTGATTCCTCCACTTCCTTACTGAAACCCTTCCAGTATATTATTCAATCACCTTAGAGTAAAATGCAAACTCCTTACAGTGGTCATCAAGAGCTGCATAATCTGGCTATGTCTACCACACCAAACTCCTCTATCACGTCTGTCCCGGCATGCCAGCAACTGACTTATTGCCTTCCTTCCTCAGCTCCAAATTTATTTATTTAGGTTAAAAAAATCTCTATTTTAATATTGTCTTAAATTAACCAGGTTGCCTACTGAGACCTTGACTGGTTACACCCCCTAGGCCCAGTTTTAAGGAAAGTAACACCTTGATTCATATTTTTACCCCTTTCCTAAGAGACTATCCCGTCTTTCCTTTCCTCCATTCTATCTCATTTCTTGTTCTTAAAGAAGCATGACCTAGACCACTCCTCTCAGCTTATCAGTTATACCAAAGATAATAGGATTTTTTTTTCCAGTTCTGTACTCTTGGATATATATAGAAAAGGCAAAGTATAAGCTTGGCTGGCCGCCAGCTGGGTAATTTTAGGTCCTCAAGCCTTTGTCATGATCATTTTATTTTAATGATAAGAGCCTGCAAACACTGTTGTTTTCTTGACTAAGCTGTTGTCATTAAAGCAGATATTATTAGCTCAAAAGAACTATTTTCTCCCCCAGTGGGTTAAGTGTAGTTATTCTTTACACTATTTTCTGCCACATATCATAGAGTCCCCAAATATTCTTAATTAGTAAATTAAATTAAGATGTTTCATAAATTATTTCAAAACCCTAGAGTAGTGTTCCACATGAGATACCAATGGACCATTCCACTGAGGATCCCAACAAGGACAAGGAAGAGGAAGGTTATTAAAAATGCAGATGTTGGGGGTCAGCAGGTTGCAAAATGGTTAAGGAGCTGGACTCCCACGTGGGCCAGCTGCAGTGTGAGTCCTGGACCCAGTGGTTTGAAACTCACGCTGTGTACATGTGCTTGTGTGCCAAAAGTCATGAGAAGAAAATGGAGGAGAAGGGATTGTGAAATGGTCACCTGCCCCACCAGGTGATTTCTCACTTTCTGTTTCTGTCTCTTGGGTGAATGCACATGCCCTGGAGCAAAAATCTCTCCAAAAAAGAGAGGAGAAAGAAAGAAAAAGGTAGACATCCAAGTCTTACTCCAGTCTTACTAAGTCAGAATTTCTGAAGGCCCAGGAATTTTTTTAACCAATAGATTCAGGTATTCTTTTATTATTATTATTTATATTGGAGGACAATTGCCCTAGAGAAACAAGTAGTACCTAGTTTCTATACTTTTAAACTGACATCCAAAACAATTCTTTTATGGAAACACCATAACTGGGGCAAAATGTTGACGGTTTTTATATTGAGGGCACCAGATGACTAAATTTATGTCTTCCTAAACATACAAAATTTATATAATTGAAAGTAATTACTAACTGTATAACTGAGTCTTATAATCATGAACTGTTTTCTAACTGAGCATGTCAACACTGTTGATGATAGACCGCAGGGTTGTGAGACCCTCCCCAATTTAAGACTGTGATCAGAGACTAATATCACGTCTGTCGCTTACATAATCAAAATGTGATAAAGAAATTCACATTTCTTTCTTTTCCTTAGAGATTTTTTTTTTCTATAGGGTGCATATGCTCACTGGAAAGACACAGAGATATAGAGAGACAGAAAGTTAGAAATCATCCTATAGGGTGATGGCCATGCCACAATCTCTCCTCCTCTATTCTCCTCACAGGATTCTGGGCATGCATGCAAATGTACCCAGCGTGAGTTTTAAGCTGTCCGGTTCGAGACTTAAAATGTGGTTGGTCATGTGAAAGTCCAACGATATAACCATTATGCCATCTGCTGATCCCATAAATTCACACTTCAACCATTGAATATTGAAGAAGACCATTTGAAACAAAAAATTAACAAGACATTCTGCAAACATTTTCAATTTGAAGTACTTCCATTTAAGTATTAGCTTATTTGACTTAAAATGTGAGCTGTAATAGGCTCACTAGTCACTGAAAAGCAAGAATGCCTAATGATTTTTTTATATAGAAAAGCATTATTAGATGTAATAAACTTGTAGCCAACCAATAAAAGCAAATGAATTAACATCTGAGAGATAAATTTATATAATTTATATAATCAGGTAAAAGTAGTATGGGGGAAGACCATTCTATGATTAAATAGAAAAATTCTTTTCAACTCTAATATTGTATGGCTCTGTAAGATATTTTGTAGAAAATAAGAAAAGTGGGGCCAACAGATTGTGTAGCAGTTATATGACCGGACTCCCACATGGTTGACAGCAGTTTGAGTCCCATACCCAGTGGCTTGAAAAATCACACTGGGCGCATGTGTGTATGCTTGCCCAAGATCCCGGGAGGAAGATGGAGGAGAAAGGACTACAGCATGCCCATCCTCCTGGGATGTGATTTCTCAT